TGCATGCGCTATACATCAAATAATTGTGCCCCACCAGACTTGTTTTTTTCTTATTAAAGGAGTTTCAGAATTTGGTAAAAATCCATTGAGGATCCTTGAAATCTTCTGAAATATTTGTTCGTTAAGTTATTTTACATTTTGTCATAATGTCCGAAGAATCAAAAATTAGGGTTTCATTATATTAGGGGTAAGGATGGGGGTAGAGGTGAGATTGTGGCGTAGAATAACTCAGGACGCTATAGTTGTTCTCCATAGTGTCATGTTAAGTTGCCACTTACAATGGAGTACGATAGATTGGTATCGTTGTTATGTAAAAAATGAGTGTGAGCAAACGTTCGGTGAATATTAAAGTAACCGGAAGATATCTGTATTCTGTTACTCTGCAAGGGGTTGCTTGTTATGCTGAGTTTAACATCGAAGACGATGAAACTCTGACAATTTTTATGTGGACCCCGGATGAACACAGAAAACTTCTTGTGACAAAAATATTGGAAATGTACGTCAAGGCTGAAGACGTTCGCAATAATGAGTTCCGCAAAGTAGGGATATCCCTCAATCATCGGGTAGTTATTTTGGAGCAGTTTTAGCCGAACAGGTTCCGGGTGAAAGAGTTTGGCTTGATCTAAACTTATCTCCACGGGCGAATGAGGAGCGAGGATATAATTTCTCCCCAAGTTTACATAATCCAGAAGTCGGGTGGTAAACTTCAATTTTTCTTTATGTTACAATATTTATTTTTATGTATTGAATTTGTATTAACACTCATATATTCCACATGGGGTACTAGCCAGATATGAATTTTATAAGTTATGAACCAACAGACAGTTGGAATATGCCTAGTTTTGGTGTGTTGGATCATAGTGGTCCATCCGGGAGTCACCATCAATAGGATAATGTGCATCATGGGTTATCAACACATTATAATTTGTAAGTGAAGTGATAAGGTTTATACGTAAAGTTTGGATGAATTTGAGAAACTAATTATTTTATTGGTTGTGCAGTGAAAACGATCAACTTGAAGGTCCTGTCAATGTTGTCATGCCCCAACCTCGGGAAGCACGACTGACGCTCAACCGAGTGAACCCGCCCGAGCAAGCCTGTTAGATACTTTCTACCCAATTAACCCATGATCAAGAAAAGACATGATTTCATTAATTATACAGTAGGAATCTCATTCATACAATCCTGAATCGTTTCATTAATCATTGCGCCTTTAAGTCTCAAAATGCATTTTTCTTATAGTTCAAGGGGAACAAGTGATCATCCACAACATAACTTGTTTAATATTTCCAACACCCATATACAACCCACATAGTGTCTATGGAGCCTCTAAAGATACAAAGGAGAGTAAAGATGATGCATGCAACAAGGCCCCGACTACACCTCAAAAAGTGACCATAATATAAATAAAAGGTACAATACATGACCCCAGAATGAAATGGGGCTCACCGAGTCCGCTGAGAAGAGGATGCATCACTCTCTGAGATCCGCACTGTTTGTTATGTAACCACCTGCATCCATTTAAAGATGCAGCGCCCCGGTAAAAGGGACGTTAGTACCGTCGAATAGCACTAGTATGTATAGCTAAACACCAACCCAATAGAATGAATAATAATACAAGAGGGACAATCAAGAATTCAATAAGGGCTTCCAATAATAGTAAAACAATGAGTTAAGGATCATATATATTTTCAAGACAATTTTCATATTACTAGATTGGGTGACCTTTAGTACCGATATTCCATAATTCCCAATACCTCCGTATTCTTACACGTAGTCCGATCTTGGCCCGATCGGCTAGGCCATCTCATTTGAGACATTACCATAATTTTATTATAATTTCCGGCATAATACACTATGTGTGCGGCATGGCGTCCGATCACGGCCCGATCGGCTAGGTCATCTCATTTGAGACATTACCACAATTTCATTCACAATACCGTCGTGTTCTTATACGGAGTCCGATCTCGGCCTGATCGTCTAGGCTATCACATTTAAGACATTACCTTCTTCGGTCAATCATCTCACATCGAACTTCTTTCATATACTTTCAATTCATTGGCACTAGTGATTACGATTACAAAGTCATTCTTGGCACTTGGCCGTATTTCATAGTTCCAGACCCCGTTTTCACATTCAATATCATTATCAACAGTAATAAGACTTCCCATTCAAGATATTAAATTCACATATGAACAATTTGGGAATCTTAGGCACATATAGACTTTTCATACAATTTGGCATAACAATCTTTATTTCGATCTTGACATGAAGTCTTAATATTTCTAGCACACATTCCATATTTTTTTAACACATCCTCAATAACAAGATAACATGATGAAGCATTTAGAATAAATATTGAACTTACATCCTTCAACACAAACATGTTTGAAATTGCCAATTCTATAATGATCAAGGACTTACTCCAATTACATGATCACCGTGGGGTTCTATTCTAAGAAGAAGGGGGTTTGGCCAATATACATCAATTGAGCTCCTTAAAAATCTAAGATGTTCCGGAATATTAGCCACTTCAATCTATTTTAGCAATATAACAAAATTGAACCAAAATTAGGAAAATGAATATGGTTTTAGCTCATTTGAGCATATTATCAAACACTAGATGTGCATCAATGCCTTAAGGCCTTTTTTGTGGAGGATTCCATCCTTCCCCAACCCATTCTCTATCGTTTTTAGCTCACAATCTTTTCACATACTACAAGGATACATGCATGCAAGGTTAGCACTCCCATCCCCATGAATTACCTTACTAATGGCACATTCTAGTTACATTTTAAAATTAAGAGTTTGGGTGATAGAATCTTACCTCTTAGGAAGAAGACCTAGGTGCCTCTCTTGATAATCTTCAAACTTTTGAGTGAGAATTGAAGAGCAATGTGATGAAGATCACTTCTCCCTCTAGGACCCTCTCTCTCACTCTAAAATTATCAGAAAATATGATCAAAATGGTCCATGGGATATGTTTTAATGAAATAAGGTCGGGTTTAAAAATCCCAAAAATGAAGCTCCGAAACAGGGTCTGCGATCGCATAACCGATATGCGAATCGCATATCGGTGGCATAATTAGTGACCAAAACAACCAAAAACAGCTTCCTTATCCTTTTACCAGACTTCTCAATGGACTTACCCTTGCTACTTGATTTCACCATAATATCATCATCAGACACTAATTGTTCCTCCACAACTTTCTTAGACTTGATACTACCTTTCACAGACTTTTTACTTGATGTTTCAACAGCTTCCTTTGAAGCACTCTCAACAGATTGTTTCTTTTTCTAAGATCTCTTAACTAGGGAACTCGATTCCTCTTGAGAATCCTCATCCACTTTCACTACAGGTATACTTTTGTCACACATAATTTCCCTGTCCTTCACCAGCCTCTTCTTATTTTTCTTGCTATCCCTTTTGCTTTTCTTCAAGGCAGACTCAAAAGCCTCATTCTGTTGCAACCTTGTGGTAGGTCGCTTAGGAGGGGGCTCAGGAGTGACCACGAGCTTTCTAAGCTTAAAGCGTGCACTGAGAACCACATTATTNGAACCACATCATCCTGTTCATCCTCATCACTAGATCTCACAACGGGAGGGATGGACTCCAACGGTTCAGCATCAAAGTGAGGAGATGGAGAAGGATCGAAGCTGACCTGGGAAGATGATTCCTGACCCGTTTCCTCAGGGTGGGGATCGGGTTCATCAACAGGGTTCCCAGTAGCTTCTTCAGGTGCAGAAGATCCGAAGAGCACCATTGTTCCTTCTTCTCCTAAGAGCAGAGTCCCTTCCCCCTAAGACTCAGGCATGGAAGAAGTTACCTCATTCACTAGTCTCTCGGCAGCAATGGACAACATGTTTTCGATGGCCTCCTTTTCCTGAGGTTCCATAGCAACAACAGTAACCAGAGGACTAGCACACTGATCAGTATCTTCCTCGAACACCCCTTTTCCTTGTTGAGTTTCATTATTTTCTTCATCCTTGTTCTGTTCTTTGAGAGTATCATGCAACAGAGAAGAAACACTATCTATTTTTGGTGTTTCTGAGTCCTCAACACTTATGGAAGGAATATCGACAGAGGGAGTGATGAGAGAGATATGGGGTGAAAGGGAATCGGGTTTGGGTGTTTCTGGGTCAGCAATGCTGGAAGAGGGGACGTTTGGTGGTGTTTCTAACATGGCGGATGAGTCAAGGGTTTTCTCTTCAGAGGTGGGTAGGTTTGCTTGCTCTTCAGCCATAGTAGATAGTTGGGTAGAAGGTTCTGTAAGAGTGGAAAGAAATAAAGATGATCGCTTAAGGTTATGAGGTGTAGGGGTTTTAAGGAGGGAAAAGATAATTATGAGGGAAGAGAAACGGGTTCTGAAACGGCTGTAGGTTTGTGGGAAGATGCAACGTTACAGAGGGAAGTGAAAAGATTTGAAAGAAAAGACGTGATATACAAGGTCTGAAAAGGTGGATGACGTGACAGTTAATTTTGTTTTTTTGAGATATGCATGAAAAAAATACAAGACTACTAACCTGTGGTACAAGAACCAGGTTCTTGATCGGTCTTTCGAAAAAGATTTTTCAATCTCTTTTACCTCTCATGCATTATTTCTTCAGCTTCTATAATCATCATGCGTGTCTACCTGCAACAGTATAGAGGTGAGTTAGGCTTGGTCAGAAAACACTTTAGCTAGATTTACCTGAATGTAACTTTCATAGCCATATGGAAGGGAATCAGGTTCTCAATTAGGCTTGATTAACCCCAGTGCCATCCTGTTTTTCTCAAAATATTCCATGCTCAGAGCTTTGGTGATGTCTGCAATTTGGTCTTATGTACTACAGAACTTCATGCAAATAAGCCCCTTCTCCACATTGTCTCTGAGAAAATGATGTCTCACATTAATGTGCTTGGTTCTCTTGTGCTGGACTAGGTTCATTGCCATGTTGAGTGCACTGGTGTTGTCACATAGAAGAGGTACACAGTCAGTGTATACTCCAAAATCCTCCAATTATTGTTTGATCCACAAGAGCTGGGCATAACAAGAAGCTACAACAACATATTTTGCTTCAGCTGTTGAGAGAGCTACAGAGTTTTGCTTCCTTGTGCCCCATGAAATCAGACAGGATCCTAGGAAGTGAGCCATTCTGGATATGCTTTTCTTGTCCACTAGATAACCTGCATCAGCGTACCCAACAAGATTAAAATTGTCACCTGAAGGGTAAAACAAAACCAGGTCCTGTGTTCCCTTAAGATATCTCAGAATTCTTTTGGCAGCCTTTAGATGAGATTCCTTGGGGTTTGACTGGAACCTTGCACATAGCCCCACACTGAATACAATATCTGGTCTACTGGCAGTGAGATAGAGGAGGGATCCAATAATACCTCGATACATTGTTTGATTTACAGAAGAGCCAGATTCATCCAAGTCCAGTCGAGTGGCAATGGCAATGAGAGTGTCGATCACTTTTGATGCTTCCATATCGAACCTCTTCAAAGGCTCCTTGATGTATTTCTGCTGACTGATACAGGTTCCCTTCGTGGACTGTTTCACTTGAAGACCCAAGAAAATGTTCAGCTCCCCCATCATGCTCATCTCAAACTCACTTCCCATGAGTTTTGCAAATTCCTCACAAAGTGAGTCAGCTGTTGCCCCAAAGATAATATAATCAACGTATACCTGAACAATGAGGAGGTTCCTTCCTCGTTTCTTCAGAAATAGAGTGTTGTCAATTTTTCCTCTTGTAAAGCTATTTTCTAAGAGAAACTTTGACAACCTTTCATACCAAGCTCGAGGAGCCTTCTTCAAACCATACAATGCCTTTTCCAATTTGAACACATATTCAGGATGTTCATGATATTCAAAACCTGGAGGTTGCTTAACATAGACTTCTTCCTTGAGAAAACTATTCAGAAATGCACTTTTGACATCCATTTGGAACAAGGTGAATTCCATATGTGGTGCAAAGGTAATGAGAATTCTGATGGCTTCCATACGAGCAACTGGAGCGAAGGTCTTATCATAATCAATCCCTTCCTCCTGATTGTAGCCTTGAACAACCTCTTGAGTTGGAGTGGAGGAGGTTGCATTACCTTCATTTGTCTCCTTCATTTGACTCATCATATTTGCCTTTCCATTTGCCATATCAATGATTTATCCTGGAACCAGCAATGGCTCACTGTCTTGATCATCCTTGTTGCTCTTCTCACCAGATGAAGGGGACTCATTAAAGATTACATGAACACTTTCTTCCACACACTGAGTCCTTTTATTGTAAACTTTGTAAGCTTTGCTTTAAGAAGAATATCCCATAAAAATTCCTTCATCGCTTTTGGCATCAAATTTTCCAAGCTGATCCTTTCCATGGTTGAGAACATAGCACTTGTGCCCGAACGTTCTTAAGTGAGTCAGCTTGGGCTTCCTTCCATTTAGCATCTCATAGGGAGTTTTGTTCAAAAAGGATCCGATCATGCCAGTTGTTGTGGAGTTCTTGGAGCTGAGAAGTTGTGGGTGATGCCATTTTCACTGCAGAATTCATCAAACTTGGCATTGTCAAATTCTGTTCCATGATCGGATATGATATAACCCACTTTTGATTCCATCTTCACTTGAATTTTCTTCAAAAAGGCTACAAATACTTCGAAGGTCTCATCCTTTGTTCTGAAAAACTGCGTCCAAGTGAATCTTGAGCAGTCATCCACTATCACAAAAATGTATCTTTCCTCCCCTTCTTGGCACTCTCATAGGGCCACATAGTTCCATATGAAGTAGTTCAAGTGGCTTTGATGTGCTAACATTATTCTTTGGCTTGAATGAAGATTTCACATGATTCCCTATAGCACAGGCATCACATACTTTGTGCTCTTTGAATTTGGCAAGCCACAAACTAGGTCCTTCTATATCAACTTGTTCAGAAGAGAGAAGCTTGCATGTCCTAGCCTTCTGTGCCACAGCTCGACATCATTATCAACAGTTTTCAGGCAGTTCATGTCGCCACTTTGTAGGGACTCGAAATCAACAACGTAGATATTCTTGTATCTTTTGGCCACAAGTACCACTTCACCAGTTACCAGATTAGTAACTGTGCATATCTTTGACAAAAACTGCATTTTGTTTCCCTTATCACAAATTTGAGAAACACTCAAGAGACTGTACTTCAGACCATTAACATAATACACATTCTCGATTGAGTGTGAGAGAGACTTTCCAATTTTTCCAACACCAAGAATGTACCCCTTTTTCCCATTTACAAAGGATACATTCCCTCCTTGCAGGGCTTTCAGTGAAAGGAAGTCCATGGTATTCCCAGTCATGTGCTTAGAGCATCCACTATCCATGATCCATTGTTGACTGCTTCCTCTCATTGTTCCCTGCACAAGAAATTCAAGGGTTAGATTTAGGAACTCAAATATTGGGTCCCTTGTAATGAGAAAAAGGATGAATGGGAGCTCTTCTAGTCCATGCAGGCAACATGCGTTTTTTGTGAGTGGCACTTGGTCCTCTTCCAATAGTTACCTTTTCAGCAAAAACTTTATTTTTCTGAACAGACTGGACTCTAGCTTGGCAATTTTCCTTGAAATGTCCATTGTTCCTACAGTGGGTACAAAGCCAGTTATCAGGTACAGTGACGTACTTTCTATGAGGGTTATAGGGAACTTTCTCCCTTTGGAACCCTATTCTCTGCCTGTTTCCACAATTGTTAAAATACATGGCAGTAATAGCATATGAGGACCGAGTCCACTTAAGAGATTTTTCAAGATCATTTTGTACTTTTTCCAATTCTGCTTGAAGCTGCCTATTTTTCTCAAGCTCAGCACATAAACTAGTTTTCACAATGTTCAGCTCATTTTCAAGTTTAATATGTGCCTCACTAGCAATTTCCTTTCCTTTTTCAGAATTTCCAGGCTTAGAGTCTGCTTTAAGTTCCTCAATTGTTTACTCTAGGTCTGCAATCACTACTAGGAGATCATCTCTTTCTTGCTCAGTGATAGCAACTTTCTCCACTAAGGCATTCTTTTCTTTACTAAGGTTCTCAGTGGTTTCTTTCAAGTCAACTACAACTACCATCAAATCATCTCTTTCATGTTCTACACTAGCAATTTTTTCTGTTAGAACCTCCTTTTCATTTTTCAGATTTTCTATGGTTTCCTTTAGGTCAACTACACAAACAACCAAGTCATCTCTAGTCTGCTCAGCATCTCCTAACTTTATGGTTAAGGCATCCTTATCACTCACCAGACTATGATATACATCAATCAATACATTAGCTAATGACATGAGTTTTTTTAGGAGAATAGGATTTCAGATTTCTCTGAACATCCCTAAAATATACCTCATCATTATCATCGTCTTCATCATCGTCTGACTGAGCCATCAAGGCGAATATTGAATCATATTCATTTGCTTCACTTTTAACTGCCAACATGGAGCTATCACCTGCATCATTTTCTTCTTCAGACTCACTAGAGGAGTCTCCCCATGCTGCAAGAGCTTGCTTCACAATATTATCCGCTTCGTTTTTTCTTTTGAAGCATTTGTCAGGAACCGGGTTCCTCTTGGCTACTTTATCAGAGTTGTGCTTGAAATGTTCTTGCTTCAGAAGAGGACAGTCCTTGATGAAATGCTCTGGCTTTCCACACTTATGATATAGGTCATAATTCTTTGGTTTGCTGGAACTACCTCTCTTTGGTATACCTCCATTCCTTCGAACCATTTTCTGAAACCTTCTGGTAAGGTATGCCATATCGCTATCCTCCTCACTTGAATCATTGTTTTCAGCTTTGAGTACCGGGTTCTTCTCCTTCTTTGGTTCTCTTCTTTCACTGTCCTTCTTTCTCTTCATCTCATAGGTCTTCAGATTTC